CCTCCTCGATGACACCGGCGTCTAGCATCTTCTTTACGTTGGTGGTGACCACGGGGTCGTCCGTCTGTGCCAACCGCCGCCTCTTCAACATAATCGGAGCCGAGTCGCCAGTGTCGATATGATGCTCGACATTCAAGGTGGTAGCCGGAGGGCAATCGTCCATGTTTTTTGTGGTTCCACGATAGGCCCGCAACAACTGCATCACTAACCGCCGACTGCCCTCGTTTGTCTCTCCAATCTTTACGTCATCCTCGTTAGCTAGTGGCGTATCGACATCACCCGATTCACTCAATCAAGATAGGACTCGTTCACGCTGCAATTCTCCGTTTACTGCCAGTACCGTCATTTCCTCATCTACAGGTATCCACTTGCCTAATACCTTCTTAGGTGGCAGCCTCGCTTCGCCATCGCCGGAGTTAATTGCCGGAACCCACGCCTTACCATTACGTGCACGAGTCACCGTAGCTGCCAGCATTACTGGTCCCGCACTTCGCGTCGGTATAAAGATGCCCTGCTCGCCGTCTTCTGCTGCTATCGCAATTTCCACCGGAGTCACTGCACTCCCCGCAATCTGCATACGTCTGGCCATACGTACCGGTGCTACCTTTACGCTTCCTTCCTTGTCGTACGTCCGAAACGGGATCACAACTAGCCTTCCGTTATCGCGGTACCTCACCTCGCTACTCTGGAAGTCCATCGTCGCTCCGTGACTTCGCATGAAGTCCACGCCCACCAAGAACTCGTCAGTGCATCCGTCCACAATACACGCGTCCACACTAATGATCTCCCCAAACACGTTGCTCAAGTTGAACCGCCATACACCTACTACGTCGAGCAGGAACCCGCCGATCCCTTCCACATAGTTCACCGGAGCTTCCATGTCGATGCGATCACCAAACTCCATCCAGTCGGTCCCAGCAATCGTGTACCTGGCGCCACTATCCAGCTTTACATGACGCGGTGCTCCCTCGACTTCCATCCTCGCAGTAGGTAGCCCGTCGTCAGCACCAACATACTCAACGTCACCGGCGTCTTGTCGCTCCTGTGAGGCCTGGGTGGCCGACCGCCGCTGCACCAGACTCACGCGTGCTGCTTCTCTACCCGGGTGGACGCGCACGTCGCCCTCGTGGGCTGCACGACGGCAACTCAGCTCCGCTAGCGCACTCCTTCTATCTTCCAGCCTAGTTGCTCGCCGCACTTTGTCTGCCGTTCGCTGTTCCTCTTCCTGTGCCAGTGCCCGGGTCTGACGACTAGCCTTCGCTCTTTTCACTTGCGCTCGCTTCACGTCTCGATGTTTTTGCCGCCGCTCAGCTCTCCGGCGTGCCACGACGTCGGCAGCACTCTCCACCTTCTCCACCGCCGTTACCCGTCCGTCAGCATTACTCATCGACGCGCCCTCTCCTGACTGGCCTGCCTCTCCTTCATCTTTAAGCGTCCTCTCGTCCCCTTCGCCTCTCACTCGTGCCGTTGCCCGCACCAACCGCGCACCCGCCATTGGAGGTCGTACCGTGGCTTTGTAACGCTTCGCCCTCTCTCCGTCCTTTGCCAACACCTCCGCGTTCATCTCCTCCAACACCGCACTTACGCGCGTGCCCTCGTTCTCTCTCTCGCCTTGCTCACTCACCCTCGTTGCCACCGACGTCTGCTCCTCTGCGCCTTGTCTGTCGTCGGTCGTCACTTCTTCATCCTTGACCTGCACCGCTTGCCGGGGATCCACCAGTAAAACCGGACGCCGTAGTCCCCTCACCACGTCCGCACCTAGTTTTCCTCAGACTTTTTATCTTCGTCGCACGGCTTCCGTCGTGCCTCGTTTCGCGACTTGGCCTCGACGTTCGGGCGGTCTCTAGCCAAGTGACCAAACTCCCCGCACGCGAAACACTTCACCCCGTTCGGACACACCGCTGCCACGTGGCCGACTTCTCCACACTTGTAGCAATGAAATGGAGGTCTGCTTGCTACACTTGGCGGCATGGAGCTGTCTTTTTGCCCCGCCGACTGCCTCACAGCTGCTTTCGTTTTCTTTCTCACCGACCTCGCATCGGATTCTGCGTCACTGGACTCCTCGTCCCGATGGCTTCGACCCTTCCGCTCCGGATTCTTACTCGACGTCTGCGCGTCCTGCGTTCTCTTCCGCCCGCTCTTGGTTGCGACCCAGTACTTGCCATTCCAGGTGTGGCCTGGTGGCACGTCCCAGGTACCGGAATAGTCGTTTTACACACCTTGAGGGTTGGTAAACAGAGCCACACCTCCTCCCTCACTGCCGGCGGTGCCTGCGTGTCCTGCCATCGCTGCCATACCAGCCGGAAGACCCGCACCACCGACGCCCGGAATCACCATGGTTTGACCCATCGTCCCCGCCATTGGTACCAGGTATGGGCTGGGAGTGGTCGCCCACGCCTGCCCGATGTTGGACATCCCCAACGCCACATTCTCCATCGGATCGTCGATCTTCGTTGCCTTGGCAACAGCTTTCTCCAAAGTCTTCGGCTTGGGTTTCTGCTGCACCAACTTCCTCGTAGTCTTGTCAAGACACCTGTAGAACTGAGCTAGTAGTACTCGCTCGCTCACTCAGTTCTTACCGACCACTTCCCGGAGCACGGCCGCGTAGTCGGCGTACGTCTCTCCAGGCCACATCATCCTACTGTTGACACGCCATTCAGCGGCCGACTTGTCAAGTCGCTCGCCATATCGTCTCAGAAGTGCCTTCTTCAGGTAAGTCCACCGTCTCTTGCGGTCCTTCAGTCTCCGGTCCATATTAACCCACCACCGTGCCGCGTTCTCCATCAGTTTATTGCCCATGATGAAGTATAGTGCCCGGTCAGTCCACAGCCCTCGTCCCGACTCCTCAGCTCCCTTAAGGGCCAGGTCGACTCGGTCGATCCAAGTCGACACGGACACCTTCGGCGACGGTGTGAACGTAGGAAGCTCTAGCTCCTTCCCGCTCTTCCGCCTCGGCTGCTCATCCAACTCTCGACTCCTACGCCGGTCGTGTCGATCACGTCGGTCCCGTCGTCCACCTCGGTGCGAGCGCTCGGATTTGCTACTCGAATTCAGGTCCTCATCCTCAGCGTCGCTACTGTCGTCATTTGAGCTGCTCTCTTCCTCTGAACTGCTCTCGCTGCTGCTAGGCGAATCGTCGGAAGCATCGTCGTCATCACTCTCGTCTCCATGGTCATCACTGCCTGATGATCGTCCGGATCTTGTCGTCCTCCGTGACATCGCACGTCTCCGTCTCCCCTCTTCGTCCTCCGAGCTCTCGCTATCACTACGGTGTCGTCGTGATCGTTGCGAACGCCCGTAACTACGTCGTCTTCTTGTTGCTTCACTGCTCTGCCGTCGTCCGTGGCGTCGCTTCTCGTGCTCGTCCTCGTGCTCAGCGTCGTGTGGAGCAGATTGCAGATTCTGCACCATCGTGCGTAGCTCATCGATTGCCGCCGCCATAATCATCGTATCAGACTGCGGAAGCACCGCTTCACCCGGAATGCTCCTAGTGCCAGCAGCACTCACAGCCGCTGACTCCTCTCCAGTCTCTCCGTGCGTGTCACCCTGTAACGCACCGGCGTCGTCTTCTCCATCGTCATCCTGTTCGTCGCGCTATTCCTTCTCCTTTTGAGTCGCTCCTTGAAACTTCCCGATTCGAGGGGACGCCCTCGTCTTAACCCGCTTCACCCGCGAACTCCTCGACTTCGTTTGCGTCTTCGTACCTGCCATCTTATCTCGTGATGCACGCGTTTCAGTCGTGTTTAGCCCCTGTATGACCACCATGAAACAGGCCAATTGTCTTGTCCGGCTGTGGGGCAGGTCGTACAGCTGCACCGTGCTGCGCTGCGTCGTTCGTGTCTGGCAGCCGATGACTCACTGAAATGTACTCTTCGGTTGGCCGACAGGAACCACTTAGTTCCTGCGCCGGATCGTCCACTCACGTGTCCGCTCCTATTTATATTCAGGTAGCTACTAGCCGACTTGCTAATACTACTTCGAGTCCTTCTAAGAATTCTCACACTCCTCGCCTTCGTCCGTCTCACACTCACGTACGTCTCCTCGCTCACGTACACTTCCTTGCTCATGTCTGTCTCGCAATCACGTACGTCTCCTCACTCGTGTACGCCTCCTCGCTCACGTTCGTCTCGCAATGCCTCGTCAACTCGTCAACTCGCCGCACTCGTGTACGTCTACTCGCTCACGTCCGTCTCGCACTCGCCCTTGTGTCTCACGGCGCAAGTTTTCAACTGAGCCAGTCTCGCGGTCGTCGCAAGCTCTTAAGTGAGCCCAAGCTCTGACATGCTGGCTGACCCAGTGGTACTGCAATGTCACTCACTTCGTTCCGGCCCCCTACATTTCGCTTTCAAACGGCCGTAAAGCCGCCCTCTCCAGTTCTGCCCGCCCGGTCTGATCGCGGAGTCGGACGTGAACCACCTGTGCTGCCGATCCACCGTTGGACCATCTGCGTCGTGGCCCACACAAACCGCTGATTCGCTACAATAAAAAAGGATCCTTCCGATCGTTTTGATATAGTAAAGAGTAGGCCGACACTGAAGTATTTCGCAAGCGTCGGGATGATGAAAACAGGATCTTCGGGATATTTTGCGTTCAAATTGAGAACATACTTCGTCCAGAGTTGAAAATTTGTCGCAATGAGAATGCGACTGCCTTCTTTATCGAGCCCGAACAAGTGAAATATCTTATCTGGACTCTTTCGAATGGTTATCCAATACTGCATCTGCTCCGTCTGAAGAGATCCTTCTGTCTGGAGATCCACTTGGCGTCATCTATCATCTTATAGAGCGCGCTGTCGCCATATAGCTCAGTCAACACCGGGATCACGGGGTTTTCTTTCATTGAAGCTTTCGGTGTCTCGTCGACGTATTTGACCCAGGTACTAAACTGGGAGTCGTTGAACAGATTGTCTCCTTTACCGTTAAGATGCATGCGAGATAACACGACTTCCGGAGAATTTCTTTTGGCCAGCCACTTCTCTCTCCTACTCTCACTGCACCTATTCAGGCCCCTAGAAATGACTGTGTAAGTTCAATCGCCGAGGGGTGGGACGGTAGTAAATAATGTGGAGCACCAATAATCTAGTCACAACAGTTCCGTCAACTCACCCAACAAGCACACAAAAGTCCCAATTCTGAGTAGTATCCCCACCTGCTGTCGAAATTGCCCTGGTAGTTCCGTCTCCTCCACCATAACGAGTCCATCGTTCGGATAATTGTGTTGGTTAAACGGATTAAGGCACAGCTTTCCAGCAAGTACCAAAGGGTAACATCGTTGTGGTAGTTTACCCAGTCGCTTGTCCAGTTCTTCAGCACTCAACGTCGCCAGCTCTTCGGCTGCCACGCCACCATATCCTGCCATCCCTACGTGTTTCTTCATCGACTTGTGGTACCGAATCCTACAGCAAAACAAGCATCGTGAGATTTTAATCGAACTATTGTCATTAATGCCGTCGTACCCTCGATTTGGCGGTGCCAGCATGACTACTTTAGATTTGGTGTGGTTCCAGTCTACAGATCGGAACGCTTCCTGTCAAAATTAGCTTAGTAAAAGTTTCCCGAAATTAAGGTGACAGCTGACTCACTCGCAACACCAACGAGCCGTATCCGTGCGTCACGAAATCAACAGCTTCGTCCATCGTGTGCGGCTTCCGCCTCTTCAAGAACTGGGCTAGTTCTAAGCGCAGTTAAACGGAAATTAATGATCAGGTATCAGACGAATCTATTTTATGGCTAGTACCTCTGCCCGAAGTGGCGAGGTCCTGTGCGCGCGGTCGAAAACGGAAAGGTTGAACATCGTAGCCGCGCACCACATGCAGGTAGGTCTCTAGAATCTGCAGAGGCAGAGCTCCGGCGTACAGGTCGTGCACTGTCACCAGCACGCCCTTCGCCAGCGTTGCCCCACGTCGGTCAAATGTTGCGCTTGCCATCGCCGTTAAAGTATCCGAATATAAAACAAATGACACCTAAACCTTCTCAACTCGTATCATTTTATCAAGGGTAACTAATTTCGGTAGTAATTTGGATCAGTCCACATACCTGCCTTGGACGACCATGAACGCGACGGACCCTGGCGCGCAGAGCGTGCACGGCGTGAACCCACAGACGCTAGTGGAGAAGATCATGCGCAACCGCATCTACGCCAGCATATACTGGAAGGAGCAGTGCTTTGGGCTCACCGCAGAGACGTTGGTAGACAAAGCTGTCGAGCTCCAAGAGTTTGGAGGCACGTTTGGAGGCAACCAGCAGCCCACGCACTTGCTGTGCCTTCTGCTTAAAATGCTGCAGCTGCAGCCTGAACTGGAAGTCGTGAAGCAATTCATCGAGAACGAGGACTACAAGTACGTGACGGTGTTGGGGGCTGTATACTTGCGCTTGGTGGGCAAACCTCTGGAGGTTTATACGCTGCTGGAGCCGCTGCTGAGCGACTACCGAAAGATTCGCAAGCGCAACGTCATCGGCTGGGAGATCACACACGTAGACGAGATTGCAGACGCTCTACTTAATGAAGAATACTATATCGACTTGGCTCTTCCTAGATTGGTGGAGAGAGAGTTGCTGGAGAAGAGCGATGGATTGGCGCCGAGAAGGAGTCCGCTCGAAGACGAACTCGACGCTGATAGCGATAGTAGCAGTAGTAGTGAGAAGGAGTAGTAAACATGCAGGCTTACGTACTACAGTAACAGGGGGATTTAGCCTTCGATTAGTGCTATTTTGTATTGAAAGGACCGATTAGAAACCTAGAATGCAGTTAGGCTCTGTATAGAGTTCGTCTTTCGTAAGGTGGGAGATGTATTGTGGACATTGTAAATTCCTCCTGGAAAGGAGCTTTTATTCATGAATTAGATTGGCGAGTCAACAAAGAAAATGAAGGACCAAAAAGAGAGTTTTCATAGGTGCTCCGTTCGCAGGCTCACTGATGAAGATCTAAACGATTGATGTGATCCATCAATCTTGCACTCCAAACTTGCTGGCGCTTCCGCGTTGCGGTGACGCTTAGCCTAACAAAGGAAATGCGGGCCGCCTCGTTTTAGGGTTTCTATTGCGACGAAGTGCTATGGGGTCTTAAGGTTGTGCATCACGTTTGGCTCTCATGGTGTATGACTTGCGAAGCATGCATTTGGCGTGATGGTGGTTTAAGTCACACCGTGTATGTACCTATAACTTCACAGAAACCTTTGCTAAGGAACCCATATTAGGTAATGATATTTAAACAAAACTAAGGCTATGGGATAGCAAACGCGTGTGTATTAATGATAGAGCTGTGACTATTTGTAACACCTACGAAAACAATTGTTGGTCGCGCCACTAAACGATTCACTGCGATGCAAGACAAGTAAAAGAATAATTAGACGGCAACCGGTCATACCAGTGGCGCAACTGAAGGTGTGACGGGCCATCGTTACACATTGTCACCGCGGTGACGGCGATGGCCAATCAGCTTATAGAGAGTACATTTACTGCAAGGACGCGCTTCTTTTAGTCTAAGCTAACAGGGAAAGCAAAGGAGTAGGCCCTCGGCAAGCTGGTCGTCAACCCCTCCTGCTTCCCAACGATGGCCGCGATGAAAGCCGACCTTCGACTTGCGTTCGAGCTGCCCCAAGATGAGAGAGTCCAGCGTTTTGCCCTCCTGTCCCTAAGGCAAGGCGTTGCCCATCTCGTGCATCACGACGTCCCCGGTGGACATGGCAACCAAAGTCCATGTCTTCGTGTCCGGCATGAACGCCGGATACCAGCGCTTCTACTTGACAAGGAAGACTCCATCCACGCTAAAAGAAGCATTCTTTGTGGCTCTCCGCGAAGGCTATGGTGTCACGGCATCACATGCATTTGTCTTCGGTCGAGATCCGGCGCCTGAGCCGATGGGAATTGATGCCATCCACCACTTTAACCGATATCATCAGTCGTCGTCGTCGTCATCGTCGCGCCCACCGCACTCTACGATGCGCAACCAGCGCCCACTTCCGGCGGTGACTCGATACTGATTGTACTTAGCCATCATGTTGAAGGCGCACAGCGCCGAATCCGCGCACTGCCGGACTGTGGCCGGATCTTTCGTAGATACGCGTGTCCGCTGGAAATTTCTTTAAGCCCGCGGTCACATGATCGTCAAATACGCTGACGGCAAGCCGCACCGGATGCCCCGGTGCTCGGTCGCTTTCGCGTACGTGTTCAATGGGTTACCCAGCAGCGACGATTTCCTGGTGATCGAGTTGAGCGGCTCCTTTGACTGTGTCTTCGACCGTCCATGGTACATTCGTCACCAGCCTCATATTGACCGGTTGACCCGTACTGTTCGTTCACGCGACATCGATGACAACGCTGTTCTGACGTACCTGAGCGGTACGCCCAACTTTTGGCCCCACGTTGCTGTCATGGATCCTGACTCCATGACCACTACTGCACTTGAAGAGACCGATATCCCTTCGTACGCAGCACGAGCTTCTGTAGTTCGTGCCGGTCCTGAGCCGGAGTCTCAGGACGAATCGGATGTGGTCGAGCTGGGCCTTCCACATCTGGGTGAGCAACGGCTTCCACATAGTGAAGCGGTTGAGCGTGGGCTCCTGCCCGCGGATGAACAGGGGTTCCCGCGCGCAGTCGAGCAGGGGATCTCTGTCAATGCTAACATGGTGGAGAGCGGTCTACCGTACGTGGTCGCGACAGGACTCCCGCGAATGGTCGAACAGGAGCTCCCTGATGTAGTAGGTACAGCCGGACTAAGTGGTTCGTGTCCTAGTGCCGATTATACGTCCAGGCGCTCGGCTGATCTTGCCTTGGTCGAGCGTGAACTCTCATCGCCAGATATGCTCCGACCTGTTCGTCGCCGAGGTCGCCGTAATCAGCGACGGTCCCGCGATCAGTCGGAAGCGAGTGCGTCCTAGACTATCGCTGTCCTTGTTGAGCATGACACGAACCAGCCACCATGTCTTTCGTGAAGTTGAGGTCGCACGACCCCCACGCAAGCCCGCAGCGATCCCAAATCTGCCTGATCTATCGTGGAAACACTTCCTCCACGACCTGAAGCGCGGTGAGATCGAACAAGTGTGTTTGCTTGTGGCTGCCGACGCCGCGTCGATCGCGGCTGTCCACGTTGATCCTGGCGCATCGGTGTCTGATGCTCGAACGCGGCCCAAGGGAGCTGAATTGAAACCAGCCCGAGAATCCCACTATGCTGCTCAATCGCTGCCGGCCCTCGAAGCATCCGACAACCCTGTTGCTCCTCACGTCCCCGAATTCCTCGACAGCTTTCTCGACAAGATCCTGGCTGTCCTTAGATCACAAAGGGCGTAGAGCCCAGAAGGTGAACACGGAACTTCACAAGGGCATATTTCATTGCCAGGAGCTCCTTGTCATGGACAGGGTAGTCCGCT